ACAGAACTTTGTAACTCTACCACAGTAAAGTATGGAGGCCTTTTTAGCTGCTGGTATTGGTGAGCTGCTTCACTGTGAAAAGTAATTTAATCCTTTGGTGTACAGGGGAATATTGCAGAATGGCTTGCTTCCAAATGAAAAGTTGTTATCTAAAGAGGAATGATCAGATGTTATTTTTCAACGAGACAATGTTCCTGCACACACTGCAAAAACAACCAAGGAGTGGCTTGAGAACAAGTCCATTGGGCTCATGTTTTGGCCTGGTGGTCAGAGTCCAGATTTAAACCCTATAGTGAATATTTGGTCTCACATTAAACTCAAACGACCTGGGAGACATTTTTTTAACTACTCGTGAACTGTTTGAAGCTATTAGCATTGAGTGGAACAACACTGTCTGCAAGTTGTCAGGCTATTCCGTGCTAAGTTACTTTATCTACAGTATTTGTGCAATTCTTGCTAATTTCCTGACCAGTGATTTGTGATTAAAATGGTTAAGACCATTAAAAGGCCACTCAGACAATATCTTGTGATTCTTATTAACTCAATAATTAATGTAGTGTTGTTTTTCTATTTATTTGTACAGTCATGCCGTATTTAATCTTCTTATTGTTGTGTATTCTTACAATCCCAATCCAAATTTAAATTATTGAGCCAGTAAATGTAAAGCCTGATGTATGTTTGCCAATACTCACCTATAGTGCAAGTTGTCTCTCCATTTACAATTATGACTCTAAACATATTTTGGAAAATTAATCATGAATCATGGCAAAAATATTTGGCTGAATTTATTTATTGGCTGTAAATAATGGCTGAGAAATTTCATGAATAAATAAGATATGGTAAATATATATACTTTATATCAAAGGATATCAGTATACTACTTTAAAGCACAACAAAAGATAAGTAAAACATAATTATTAAAAATGTAATTTAAAGTAAAAATTTAATTTGACATTATTACAAAGTGCACTTTTAAAAAGGTGTCATGAAAGTGTTGTCTTTAAGGACAATTAAGTGGCCTTTGATTTTGTTAATATTGTCTGCAATTAAGTTTTTTAAAATAAGCTTTTTAAGATTTGAAGTGCACATTCAATACAGTTAAGCTTTTCTTTTGCACAAGTGACATACAATTATTTTTGTTTGATGGCAACTCAGTTTTTGACTATCAAAAACACTCACAAACATTTAGAAAAACGTTTTAGGAAATGCAAGAGCAACATAATCAATCCTGGGGAACTGGCATCTGTGGGAAGAAAACTGTAGGCAGTGCAATAAATGACAATCTATATTAATATTGTAAGGGTTTTTGTTTAGTTTCATTGTGTTTTAGTTTGGTTTTCCCAGTTCTCATTCAGTGTTTGTTGCCATGGTTACTGATTGCTTTGTGCACCTGTTTCTTGTTCAGTTCGTTTTCTCCTGTGTATTAAGGGTACGTTTACAAGACACGTTGATAACACTAAAAACAGAAACGTTTTATATTTGTGTTTTTCGCTTAGAGACGACAACATTGTCAAAACAATCGAAAACTAAACTAAAAACGCTGTATTATTTATGCCAGGCCAGTGGTTGGCAATGTCACTTTGTAAAGAAACACTACGTGCGTATAGACTGAACATGTAATACGCATGCACATGATGTCACCGTTTTCACAAATTCGCTTTTTTGTAGTTTACACAGAGATAATAACCGTATTGTTTTCAAAAACATCTGCCATCTTTGATTGCTACTTAGAAGCAGTGTTGTGCCTGCGAACGCGTTCAATGAACGATAGTTCATGAACTCGTTCATATTTTGGGCGAACGTGAACTGAACGTATTGGATTACTGCCTGATGAACGTTACTGTGAACGCACGCGCTCTCAGTTTAACTTCGGGTGCCAGATTTATATAGAGCCTTCCAGGCAAAAACCCGGCTAAAACACACGTAAACAGGCCTTAACATGTAGCGAAAAAAACACCCAATCTGGCAACACCAGCCACCAGTGTCGCACGCACCGCCACATGCGTCATCAAAACAAAAAGCAGCATGTAGTCAACAAAGCATCGAGGAGGCGTCGTATGGTCATTTAAACGAGTTTTATGACAAGGTCGGTGAGGATGGAAAAAATCTTTCATTTCTGTGCAAACTTTGCCCGTCGATAAAATAATTGCTGTCTGTGGTTGTATATTGGCTGTGGCAATAATATATATATATTTTTAAACTCTATGAACTAGTTAATTTTTTTAAGTATGAACTATGAACTGAACTAGTTCATTTTTAAATTTGTGAACTGAACTTTGAACTAGTTCATGTAGAAAATGAACTTTCCCAACACTACTTAGAAGGCATCTTGAGTAAAACATCCCTATATTTAACAAAGCACAAAAGACCAGGGGCCTCATTTATAACCGTTGCGTACGCACAAAACAGGCCCTGAAAGAGGCGTACGCCACTTCCGACGCATAAGATGTGATTTATAAAAACAAACTTGACGGGAGAATGTGCGCACCTGCACGCAAACTCTGACCCATGCGTACGAACGTTTTGGAGACGGAGCAGTTTGGCGACACCGATGGTGAGCTGTAGTTAAATGTCTTTTTGGTCACTTTTAGACAGAAAATCTAAAGAAAATTATACATAGGCTATACAGAAAGATAATACAAATATAATTCCACTCACTAAGCATATCACTTGAGGCAAATATTCATCCCTTCTTAAATGTCCGCGCCAGCGAGCGCGTTGGGCCGTTTAGTGAAACTAACGCCTATCTAACGACAGAGTCCTAATCATAAAAACTGTGCATGTTCACAACAGTTTAAATAAATAAAAGAATGATTTAAACTGTTTTACTTCTGATATAAACATTTAGATTAAATATGCCATTGTCATTGATGGAGTTAAACACTTAAACATGAAACCATTACTGAGAAGTTACAACATTTTTTATATTCAATAAATATAAATATTTGTTGTGGATGCAATGCTTTTGAACACTTTTCCTCTGGCATGCTGTGTTTTAATGTTTTAACTAAAGAGATAATTGCTTATCATGATAATAGCAGATTGTCTGAGAAAATAGTTTCGTGCAAATAATGCACAACAGTCTATCTGTTTCCATTAAAAATATAAATCAATTAAAAATAGGCTATTTGGTCAGTGGAAAAGATTGTGAAAACTTTCTCTGAAATGTATTTTACACTATTTGATTTATTTATATTTAAAAACAAGGCAAGGATAGGCTACTAAATTATTTTTATTAATGTAATGTGACGGCACATCCGTATTAGGCTATTTCATATTTTCCTAATGTCTTGTACCGTTAAACATGTTATCACGTGGATGAATAATCATATGCAAATGATATGCAGATGAGGATATGCATAGTAAAACTAGGCGTTGTAAGCTCCATATATGGTTATTTCGGGGAGGAGACGCATGTGCGCACAATCTTCCGCTGACTGAGATTTATCGGGATTTATAAAGTGAATTCTGCGCAGGTTCTGGCGTACGCACGGTTTTATAAATCTGAAAAAAAATTTGCGTATGCCATTTTTGGCTTTCGGGCGCACGTACACTTTTAGTAAGTATCCTACGCATAGTTTTATAAATGAGGCCCCAGAACTGGAAGAGATGCGACCTGTTTACAAGTTAAGTCCTCAGCATTTCATCATTGTCCTGTGAGTACATTTAAACAAATGAAGGACACTGTATAGTGTGAGACTGGATGTTTTACTGTTTGTATATGAATAATTCAGGACATTTTCTCTCAGGACAGAATACAAAATGACTGTTGACAAACTGATCCAGTTGTTCTCAGCTCTGGGTTGGTGTGTGAAGGGGAGCATCATTTATACTGTCAGTAAGGTTGATTCAGCAGTTTAAATGGTTATTCACCGCTGGCTAAATGGGCTTTTAATGAAGCTTGGCTAGTGTAGAAAGGCTCAAACTAATTTGAAATCAGTGCTACCTGAAAAAAACAGAGGGAAAAGGCTGTTGTCTTCCCTTTCGCCAAATAGGTAGGAAAACTTCAACACCCATAATGCACTGGGCTTGTGCTGTCCAAGGCCACGCCCACCAGTCTGTTATTGATACGCTTACAAGAGTCAAACACCGCCTTGCTTTAGTAGGAAATACTTCTTAGCAAACTTTTAGTCATAATGATATCGACTTGTATTGTTTGAGTAAACATTTAGCGGGAGTGAGTTACTTTCGCTTTCCGGTGTCGTTTCAAGAATCGTTATATATAGAGAAGGCTGCGACGGACAATCTGAAGGCGAACCTATTCATGAATTACGATTTCTGTGTGAAAACGTTTGTACATAGATTTTATATGAAAATATGCATGTATTGGCGGTTAGTGAATGAGACCCAGTGTTGTGTGTGTTCCCACGACTGATATAGTTAATATGTAATCCGACACTGACCTTAGTTAGATTATTTTGATTTGACTAATGTGTAGTGTGAAAAAATATAGTGATCAGTTGTTTATTTTAGTCTCCCTGTGGTGAAAATCCAGCTTTTAATATTGTTTATATGTCCATGTGGTGTTTTTAATACGCTTTAAGACAAATCATGTGTAAGTTCATAAGTCGACAGCATTGCTGAGTATTTTCTGCTTAAAACTGCAGTGAACCAAAGACAGTCTCAAAAACACGGTTTGAAATCGCTGGTGTTTCTGACGTCACAAACGACCTTGTAACCAATCAGATCAACGTGTGATCGTCAACCAGTGGATCTCTGAGCCGAGTGAGTGAGTGGAGGCGGGGCTCATTTGCATATTCATAGAGCCGCGCATACTAAATGAGGCAAGGGTGTCGGGTTACATTCAAGATATTTTAAGGCATGAAGAATTGTTTTTGAAGGAAAAAAATGTTTAAATATGTAATTTTGGTGATCAAAGATGAGTTTTAAGGGATTAAATGATCGACTACAGCGGGACTTTAAGTACTTTGAAAGACTGTAGGATTGGAGGTGGAAGTCTAAACATTATCTAGAGTTTGCTATCTCAGACCATGTTGTGTAAAATCACTTGTGTGTCCTCACAGGTCAGTGTTTGTAGTCGAGGACAGCCATGCCTCTTGTGAAGAGGACCATCGAGCCCAAGCACCTGTGTCGGGGCGCGCTGCCTGACGGGGTGACCAACGAGCTGGAGTGCGTCACGAACAGCACACTGGCGGCCATTATCAAACAGCTGGGAGGACTCAGTACGTTTCTCACTTCTACTGTTGACCCACAGTCATTTTAACCCTTCAGTTATCAAATCATAAAGGTCTGTGATTGAATTAAATAAATATGCACTGTGAAGAGCTGCTCAATCCACAGTAAATGCTGCTCCACACAAACTTCATCTGAGATTGAGTCGTTTTAATGTATATTTGTGAATGCAATATGCGCCAACAATCTTCATATACTTGTAATGAGAATCTCTCCCTGTGGTTTTCTGTCAAAATAGCAATTTCATTGTTCAGCATTTGAAACAGCCATACATATTAGTATTGTAATTTTACTGTTATGATGTATAAAGTGATTTCCGGAGGGGATATTTGTTTTTAATGACCTTACAAAACATGAGGTAATTTTTTTTATATATATATATATTTTAAATATGAAGAACAAAACACTATACTTGGTTAAGGTATTTATCTGATCTGACAAAATTATTTGGTAAAAAAAAAGAAAGGGGAAAGAAACTACAGCTACAGGTTTTATTTTACAATGCAAAAAAATGCATAGAAAAACAAAAAGCTGATGGGGCAAAGAATACATATCAGTTATTAATATTTCATTTGTTTCTCTCTTGTTTTTGCATGTTCTTTTCTTTGTATTGCAGCCTGGCCAAAATTATGGCATGTTTCATTGCGTTACTATAACAAATAAAACAATCGACTCCAAACACAACTACATAATATGACTACAAAATCTGTAATCTTTAATAATTTTTTTATAATATTGGAATTAAGAGTAAAGATGTCAATTTTACTAGGCCGGACATCACTTTTGACTACTGTATATATATATTATATTATATATTTTGAAATAAATGCTCAATATTTATTTTTAATTTTATTTTAAGGTAAAATGTTAAAATAGTTTTACAAATATTATAATCTTATTTTGTTTTATAGTTTTATTGAATAATAATAGTAATAATAATACAGTTTTATTAATAATTATTATAATAATATGTTATTATAACAATGCATTATTATAATATATTATTATTATAGCCATATTGATGTATAATCACAACTTTACAGCTAAACAATGCAGTCCTACATGCAAACTCAGAAAACCTGGAATTCCTTTTAAAATCACTTTTTAAATCGCAATCATTATTAGAAAAATTACAATTCGCTTTTCTCCCTAAATCGTGCAGCCCTATTTTTTTGCTTGTTCTTATTTATTTATTTTTAAGGATCTTTAACATTTCCCACTCCAACATATTGATCATTTTTATAGTCACATTCAAGTCTTTTTAAAAGAAACGACATTAGAACAAGACAGAAAAAATGCAAGTCGATTTCTCTGCATTGGGTCTCTTATTAATAAATGATGTTGTATATAAATTCCTGTGTTTGCCTATATGTGTGTGTGTGTATTCAGGTCGACACGCAGAGGACATCTTCGGCGAGCTGTTTAATGAGGCCAACAGCTTCTGCGTGCGCATGAACGGTTTGCAGGAGCGTGTGGACCTGCTGGCGGTGAAGGTCACGCAACTGGACTCCACCGTGGAGGAGGGTGCGTAAGAGTGAGCGTGCATTAGCAGAAACTGACCCACCGCTGACCCCATCCTGGAGAACAGCACAATGCAAACACAGGGCTGTTGTCAGGCACAGGTACTCAGTGTAATAGAGAGAGATGAGAGCGCAGTCCTGCATGTCAGTGTAGCCTAGAAGTCGTCTATTCACAAACTAACTAATGCATTTTGTCAGAATGAGTGCATTTATAAGTTAAGATTTTTTACCTTAAAATAATGTTTCCAAAATGGTTTCAGTGGTTCATTAAGTCGTAACAGGGTGAAAGGCACTTCTGGATTCGCTTTGCGGTCCTATATCTGCTATAACCACGCTGTGTAAGATTGCCAGATCGGGTCGCGTTTCTGTAGTTCTAATGTGACAAAAGAAAACTACAAATTTGACTTGCTTTACGGCAAGCGTTACAATAGTCATTATTTAGTTTTTCTTCATTTCTGATGTCGCAATACATCATACAGTCATGAAATCATGCATCATACTCTACCTTGTCTGTGCACATCGTTCATTCCAAAGCTGGCGCTGGATAAATAGCGAGTGTGTGTGCGACAGTAGGCAATATTATTTACGACAGCGGTAATGGACAATTCCACTTCCAACCTGTAGGGCGACCGCAGAGGAAAAGCTACTTGGTGTTGCTTTATGAGCGTTCATTGTACACTGTAAAAAGCGACAAAACCGTATCATTCATTTAAAGTGCATTTTTATATTGGTCTAGCTGAAAATCATGGATTAAACCTTCAGAACAGAATTTCCAATTTTAAAAAAAAAATTAAGTGAAACAATTTCGTTTGAATAGACATTTGAAGAGAATATTCCTGTCTTTATTTACAGTAAGTACACTAAATTGAACATTGACTAACACAATGTTTTTAGTTTTATCTTAAAGGGACACTGTAACTTTTATTGTTAAAAATTAACACGCTTTTGTTTCAAATGAACACAAAGTCCTTCATGTTGCACTGATGTCGAGACACTAGCTGAGTTATTGAACAGCACAGTGAAATAAGAGGCAGTTGACGAGGAAACATAATTAATAGAGTGGTAAAGTAATGCTGCCTTAAAAGCTTAAAGACTGTATGATGTAATGTGCTTCGTTGTCTAATATGAAATGTGTGATCGTCAACCAGTGGATCTCTGAGCTGAGTGAGTGAGTGGAGGCGGGGCTCATTTGCATATTCATAGAACCATGCATACTAAATGAGGCAATGGTATCGAGTTACATTCAAGCTATTTTTTAAGGCATGAAGACATTTTTTGAAGATACCAAAAATTTTGGTGAGTTTTAAGGGATAAAATGATTGACTACAGGGGGACTTTAAGAGATATAATCAGTTTAGATGGAAAGGATCTCAAGCTGACTAACTGTAGACGTGACTGTAGCTTTACCCAATAATAGACACGGTACTTCCTTAAAAAAAAAAAACTCCAGCACAGCGTTACAACAACCATAATTAAATAATCTTCACAATAGATAATGCTTACATGAAGATCTGTTAGAGAGATACATATATGACAGTGTATCTGTTCAATAAAACACTTTACTCTCATGTTGAGTAAAAAAACACCATCATCTCCGCGTCGCTTTACAACGCTTCAAATCCCTCAGTTCTTCATCCCCTAAACACAAGCTGATGTTGATTCTTGGTTTATTACAAGCTCGGTCTCGTTCTCTTTTCTCCAGCAGACGCTCCTCTGTTCAGCGTTGGGTTATACGGGGGATTTCCCGGAGGTTGAAGATTTAGCGGCTCAATGGCAATCTTTCTCTGTCGTTGTGACAACTAACCTACGCCACTGCCCTAAACACACACACACACACACACACACTAGACATGCGGCAAAGCAGCCGGAGAAACTTTACTCTATTTATTGATTTATTGATATGACGAGACACACGGGCGAGTGCCATCCCGACAGGTTTCATTTATAAACACTTATAGGCTTACAGTGTTTTATCTACAGTGTACCTTTACGTACCTTTAACACTTGTGTTAGTCAATGTTCAATTTAGTTTACTTGCTTTAAATAAAAACAGGAATATTCTCTTCAAATGTCTATTCAAACGAAATTGTTTCATTTCATATTTTTTTTTCAATGGGGAATTCTGTTCTGAAGGTTTAATCCATGATTTTCAGCTAGACCAATATAAAAATGCACTTTAAATGTGGTTTTGACGCTTTTTGACGGTGTATAATGAACGTTCATGTGTGTCTAACTTATAAATGCATTCATTCTGACAAAAAACATTAGTTCGTGAATAGACAACTACCGGATAAAGTCTGATTCACTGGTGCAGCCAAAAACTTCAACAGGAAAACACAATCAACGGAGTTCATTTAGTTTTTATGTCTCTTATATCCCAGTAATAAATTGGTGCTGGTGTTTGATGGTGTTTGATGGGTCTGTCTGCTTGCTCTTCAGTTTCCTTACAGGACATCAACATGCGAAAAGCCTTCAAGAGTTCCACTATCCAGGACCAGCAGGTGGTGTCCCGAAACTCCATCCCGAACCCTGTGATGGAGGTGTACCAACGCTCCGACAAACCCCCCCCCCTCAACATCCTCACGCCATACAGGTCAGTGCACGCTCCAGCCGGGGACATGCACACAAACTGCACATCCGGATCAAAAACAAGTCATTTTCAGATCATATTCACCTCAAAGTCAAACTTTTTTACAGGTGAAACTGGAAAAATTTGAATATCGTGCAAAAGTTCATTTATTTCAGTAATTCAACTTAAAAGGTAAAACTAATATAATATATAGACTCATTACATGCAAAGTGAGATATTTCAAGGCTTTATTTGTTATATTTTTGATGATTATGGATTACAGATATGAAAACCTTTTCACAATATTCTAATTTTGAATTTGGGGTTTTCATATCTGTACGCCATAATCATCAAAATTATAATAAATAAAGGCTTGAAATATCTCACTTTGCATGTAATGAGTCTATATAATATATTAGTTTCACCTTTTAAGTTGAATTACTATAATAAATCAACTTTTGCCCGATATTCTCATTTTTTGAGTTTCACCTGTATTTCTATATTTGTAGGACCTAATAGCCTACAGTATATATCAATCTTATATATCATAAAGTACAGTATTGATTGTACAATCATGATAGTATCTGTTGTAGTACATTTCAGTTAAGCTTAATTAGATGAAATTCTAATTAATGGTTAAAAACATGCATTACCGTTACGTTACTAACCAAGCTCTCAGTACGATAGCCACTACTATTGCACAGAAAGTATTACTTTTCCATTTGAACATAAAATTATCATTTTGGTGAACAGAATATAAAGTCATGTGTTCATTGTCACTTCTCTCTTGTCATTATTAGCATATGACCTTTGATAATCCAGAAGTCACTTTGGTAACCCTTTACTTAAAGCCCTTATGTATTACGCATTATTAAAGGTATTCATGATAATGTATATTATAATGCATTAAATCTTTTCATAAATAATTGTAACCAAAGTTAAAATGCATAATATTTGCAGATTCCTTTTTACATCTGAAATTGGATGTTCGTCATGTGTTTTAATGCATTATACATTTATATTTGCATTATACTATTATATACAGTATATATATACTTATAATGCATTATATGATGGCATAAACATTTGTAAAAAAAAATACAATTGTTCATGCCATCATATAATGCATTTTAAGGTGCATTACAAGGCATAATTAATGCATTAAATCACTTTTATAATGCATTATACATAAAGGCTTGAAGTGTTACCGTAACTTTATCTATTAAGTTAAATTTCGGTTAATTTCTTAGTTTATTAAAAAATATATAAATAAAAAAGTGCATGAAAGTGCCCTCCCATCTCAGCTCTTTAGTAATGGTAATTGGTGGTTGAGCGAAAAAACATAATGGCTGTTAAAATAGACTTCATTCCCTTCATGCTAAATAATTACAAATAAAATTGATTATAAAAACTAATGTTAAACAAAAGGATTTAATATCTAAGCGTCGTGTTGTGTTGCCTTACAGGGATGACAAAAAAGACGGGCTCAAATTCTACACAGATCCATCCTACTTTTTTAATCTTTGGAAGGAAAAGATGCTGCAAGCTACAGAAAATAAGAGGAAGGAGAAACGCCGGCAGAAGGTGTGTGTGTGTCTGTGTGTGTGGCCAGAAAAATACTTTATATACTGTATAAGTACACTAACACAGTCTTAATCCCTCGCCCAACACATAACTAAACTAAAAGTCCAAATAACAAAAGTCATTCTTCATACAGTTCCAAAATCACACCTGTTATGAAATAAAGTCGTCAATCCCAAACACTGACTGAGGGAACTTTACTGCTCAAATATCCCGCATTTCTACCAATCCCAAACACTGGCTGAGGGAACTCTACTGCTCAAATATCCCTCATTTCTACCAATACCAAACACTGACTGAGGGAACTCTACTGCTCAAATATCCCTCATTTCTACCGATCCCAAACACTGACTGAGGGAACTCTACTGCTCAAATATCCCTTATTTCTACCAATCCCAAACACTGACTGAGGGAACTCTACTGCTCAAATATCCCTCATTTCTACCAATACCAAACACTGACTGAGGGAACTCTACTGCTCAAATATCCCTCATTTCTACCAATACCAAACACTGACTGAGGGAACTCTACTGCTCAAATATCCCACATTTCTACCAATCCCAAACACTGACTGAGGGAACTCTACTGCTCAAATATCCCTCATTTCTACCAATCCCAAACACTGACTGAGGGAACTTTACTGCTCAAATATCCCGCATTTCTACCAATCCCAAACACTGACTAAGGGAACTCTACTGCTCAAATATCCCTCATTTCTACCAATCCCAAACACTGATTGAGGGAACTTTACTGTTCAAATATCCCTCATTTCTACCAATCCCAAACTCTGACTGAGGGAACTCTACTGCTCAAATATCCCTCATTTCTACCAATCCCAAACACTGACTGAGGGAACTTTACTGCTCAAATATCCCTCATTTCTACCAATCCCAAACTCTGACTGAGGGAACTCTACTGCTCAAATATCCCTCATTTCTACCAATCCCAAACACTGACTGAGGGAACTCCACTGCTCAAATATCCCACATTTCTACCAATCCCAAACACTGACTGAGGGAACTCCACTGCTCAAATATCCCTCATTTCTACCAATCCCAAACACTGACTGAGGGAACTCTACTGCTCAAATATCCCTAATTTCTACCAATCCCAAACTCTGACTGAGGGAACTCTACTGCTCAAATATTCCACATTTCTACCAATCCCAAACACTGACGGAGGGAACTCTACTGCTCAAATATCCCTCATTTCTACCAATCCCAAACACTGACTGAGGGAACTCTACTGCTCAAATATCCCTCATTTCTACCAATCCCAAACTCTGACTGAGGGAACTTTACTGCTCAAATATCCCACATTTCTACCAATCCCAAACACTGACGGAGGGAACTCTACTGCTCAAATATCCCTCATTTCTACCAATCCCAAACACTGACTGAGGGAACTCTACTGCTCAAATATCCCTCATTTCTACCAATCCCAAACTCTGACTGAGGGAACTCTACTGCTCAAATATCCCACATTTCTACCAATCCCAAACTCTGACTGAGGGAACTCTACTGCTCAAATATCCCTCATTTCTACCAATCCCAAACACTGACTGAGGGAACTCTACTGCTCAAATATCCCTCATTTCTACCAATCTCAAACTCTGACTGAGGGAACTCTACTGCTCAAATATCCCTCATTTCTACCAATCCCAAACACTGACTGAGGGAACTCTACTGCTCAAATATCCCTCATTTCTACCAATCCCAAACACTGACTGAGGGAACTCTACTGCTCAAATATCCCTAATTTCTACCAATCCCAAACTCTGACTGAGGGAACTCTACTGCTCAAATATCCCTCATTTCTACCAATCCCAAACACATGACTGAGGGAACTCTACTGCTCAAATATCCCACATTTCTACCAATCCCAAACACTGACTGAGGGAACTCTACTGCTCAAATATCCCTCATTTCTACCAATCCCAAACACTGACTGAGGGAACTCTACTGCTCAAATATCCCTCATTTCTACCAATCCCAAACTCTGACTGAGGGAACTCTACTGCTCAAATATCCCACATTTCTACCAATCCCAAACACTGACTGAGGGAACTCTACTGCTCAAATATCCCTCATTTCTACCAATCCCAAACTCTGACTGAGGGAACTCTACTGCTCAAATATCCCTCATTTCTACCAATCCCAAACACTGACTGAGGGAACTCTACTGCTCAAATATCCCTAATTTCTACCAATCCCAAACTCTGACTGAGGGAACTCTACTGCTCAAATATCCCACATTTCTACCAATCCCAAATTCTGACTGAGGGAACTCTACTGCTCAAATATCCCTCATTTCTACCAATCCCAAACACTGACTGAGGGAACTTTACTGCTCAAATATCCCTCATTTCTACCAATCCCAAATTCTGACTGAGGGAACTCTACTGCTCAAATATCCCTCATTTCTACCAATCCCAAACACTGACTGAGGGAACTCTACTGCTCAAATATCCCTCATTTCTACCAATCCCAAACACTGACTGAGGGAACTCTACTGCTCAAATATCCCTCATTTCTACCAATCTCAAACTCTGACTGAGGGAACTCTACTGCTCAAATATCCCTCATTTCTACCAATCCCAAACACTGACTGAGGGAACTCTACTGCTCAAATATCCCGCATTTCTACCAATCCCAAACACTGACTGAGGGAACTCTACTGCTCAAATATCCCTCATTTTTACCAATCCCAAACACTGACTGAGGGAACTTTACTGCTCAAATATCCCTCATTTCTACCAATCCCAAACTCTGACTGAGGGAACTCTACTGCTCAAATATCCCTCATTTCTACCAATCCCAAACACTGACTGAGGGAACTTTACTGCTCAAATATCCCTCATTTCTACCAATCCCAAACTCTGACTGAGGGAACTCTACTGCTCAAATATCCCTCATTTCTACCGATCCCAAACACTGACTGAGGGAACTCTACTGCTCAAATATCCCTTATTTCTACCAATCCCAAACACTGACTGAGGGAACTCTACTGCTCAAATATCCCTCATTTCTACCAATACCAAACACTGACTGAGGGAACTCTACTGCTCAAATATCCCTCATTTCTACCAATACCAAACACTGACTGAGGGAACTCTACTGCTCAAATATCCCACATTTCTACCAATCCCAAACACTGACTGAGGGAACTCTACTGCTCAAATATCCCTCATTTCTACCAATCCCAAACACTGACTGAGGGAACTTTACTGCTCAAATATCCCGCATTTCTACCAATCCCAAACACTGACTAAGGGAACTCTACTGCTCAAATATCCCTCATTTCTACCAATCCCAAACACTGATTGAGGGAACTTTACTGTTCAAATATCCCTCATTTCTACCAATCCCAAACTCTGACTGAGGGAACTCTACTGCTCAAATATCCCTCATTTCTACCAATCCCAAACACTGACTGAGGGAACTTTACTGCTCAAATATCCCTCATTTCTACCAATCCCAAACTCTGACTGAGGGAACTCTACTGCTCAAATATCCCTCATTTCTACCAATCCCAAACACTGACTGAGGGAACTCCACTGCTCAAATATCCCACATTTCTACCAATCCCAAACACTGACTGAGGGAACTCCACTGCTCAAATATCCCTCATTTCTACCAATCCCAAACACTGACTGAGGGAACTCTACTGCTCAAATATCCCTAATTTCTACCAATCCCAAACTCTGACTGAGGGAACTCTACTGCTCAAATATTCCACATTTCTACCAATCCCAAACACTGACGGAGGGAACTCTACTGCTCAAATATCCCTCATTTCTACCAATCCCAAACACTGACTGAGGGAACTCTACTGCTCAAATATCCCTCATTTCTACCAATCCCAAACTCTGACTGAGGGAACTTTACTGCTCAAATATCCCACATTTCTACCAATCCCAAACACTGACGGAGGGAACTCTACTGCTCAAATATCCCTCATTTCTACCAATCCCAAACACTGACTGAGGGAACTCTACTGCTCAAATATCCCTCATTTCTACCAATCCCAAACTCTGACTGAGGGAACTCTACTGCTCAAATATCCCACATTTCTACCAATCCCAAACTCTGACTGAGGGAACTCTACTGCTCAAATATCCCTCATTTCTACCAATCCCAAACACTGACTGAGGGAACTCTACTGCTCAAATATCCCTCATTTCTACCAATCTCAAACTCTGACTGAGGGAACTCTACTGCTCAAATATCCCTCATTTCTACCAATCCCAAACACTGACTGAGGGAACTCTACTGCTCAAATATCCCTCATTTTTACCAATCCCAAACACTGACTGAGGGAACTTTACTGCTCAAATATCCCTCATTTCTACCAATCCCAAACTCTGACTGAGGGAACTCTACTGCTCAAATATCCCTCATTTCTACCAATCCCAAACACATGACTGAGGGAACTTTACTGCTCAAATATCCCTCATTTCTACCAATCCCAAACTCTGACTGAGGGAACTCTACTGCTCAAATATCCCACATTTCTACCAATCCCAAACACTGACTGAGGGAACTCTACTGCTCAAATATCCCTCATTTCTACCAATCCCAAACTCTGACTGAGGGAACTCTACTGCTCAAATATCCCACATTTCTACCAATCCCAAACTCTGACTGAGGGAACTCTACTGCTCAAATATCCCTCATTTCTACCAATCCCAAACACTGACTGAGGGAACTCTACTGCTCAAATATCCCTCATTTCTACCAATCTCAAACTCTGACTGAGGGAACTCTACTGCTCAAATATCCCTCATTTCTACCAATCCCAAACACTGACTGAGGGAACTCTACTGCTCAAATATCCCTCATTTTTACCAATCCCAAACACTGACTGAGGGAACTTTACTGCTCAAATATCCCTCATTTCTACCAATCCCAAACTCTGACTGAGGGAACTCTACTGCTCAAATATCCCTCATTTCTACCAATCCCAAACACATGACTGAGGGAACTTTACTGCTCAAATATCCC